TCACAAAAATGCAACCGGAAAAACAAAAGCAATCACAAAAGCCAAAAAAAAAGAGCGCAATCACAAAGTGCAGCCAGAAAAACACAAGCAATCATAAATCAAACAACATTGCAAGCAAAAATGGAACAACTCAGCCGGGCTCTCTGACACACTTTTTGGAAGGGTCCACGTTCTGGCGCACTTTCTGGCGCACTTTTGGGGGAGGGTCCACTTTCTGGTGTACTTTTGGTCGCTTTTTCATGTTTTCCGGCGCCGGGTAAAAAGTCGCACTTTTTGTCGCTTTTTCTTTCGACCTTTGTTCATATTGTTTTTCCACAAAAAGAGAGAAACGAACAAAAAGCAAAACAAAACGCGACCAAAAGTGCGACATTTGACCCGGCACCAGAAAAGACACTTGTCCAGTACTAACCCTACCCGGCCCCACCAAACTACCCTCTGTGATTTGCTTGTGCTTTTTTGGTTTTGTTTGTTTTTCTTTTTCAAGTGTGATGATATCTAGACTGGTGGACACAAGCCCACCCTACATTCTGATCCTCCACCAAGAAACCATCCTCAAATCCGCCAGCCGCCCAAAATCGCCCAAATCCGCGGTCCAAAAAAAACGCCAACCTCGTCTTCACTCCGCTCGCGCGTCGCGTTGAACGCTCTTCGCGTTGAACGCTCTTCGCGCCAATGGACTCCGAGAGTGAATGGAGCGCTTCGCGTTGACGCTTGTCCAACTTCGCCTCGAGCGCCGGCGTCCCGTCCGGCCAGGCGGTGGAACCCAGCGGGGCGAGAGAGGGTGGAAGCGCTCCGGTTCGGCGGCGTTCGGCGGCCTTTTTGATGTGGCGGCTTCGGCCATATATGGAAGGAACAGCAAAAAGGGGTGCTTCGTCGCCGGCTAGTTCATCCGTGGCCAACGATGTGACCATGGGTGCTTCGTCATCCCGTCAGAATTCAGGTGTTGCCCGATTCAGGTGGACCAAAATGACTTGTTTGGTCGACCTCCTAATCCACAAGACCTCTCAAAATGACTCGAGTATCCACAGTGCTTCATTGAGATTGTTGGAGCCGATGCTTCCAACTATGTGAATGTCCCGAAAAGTTCCAGAGCGGGTCCCAACTGTGTATAGTATATTTAGCTAAACCTTTTGTTGTCCATGGCGCTAATTGTTGTCTTTTGGTATGCAAGGACGAGAATTGTTGTCCAGGACGTGTCTTACCGTAATCCCTGAACTGGTCTGTTTGACAACACTCAAATATAATAACCATATATAGTGTTCAGGCTTTGGACGTGAAAAAGAGTTCAGGCTTTCAAAAGAACCTGAATTCACAAGATGGACTAAATGTTGCGAGAACGTGTAAAAAGCTATATATCCTTTAGCATCCTGGACTGGAATTGGTATCTATCCAGGCAGGTAGTAGAATCAGAATTAGAGTTGAACAAGGGATCAAATTTTGCACGGGCACACCATGGCAAACAGTCGACTGGAATATGTTTGGGCTCAGAAGGCCACAAGTATGTCGTAGTCCAACTGCCATACCACTTCCAACTATAGACAATTTGGCGGACTGGTCACATGTTTTTAGAACTCTGTACATTTGAACCCTCAAAACATGCGAAAGAAAAGTGCGTGGCCAGGCACATGTTGGCCGTGCGTATAGTGGCAATACTCCTCGGCTCACAGCGGGACACTCGGTCCGGACCAGCGGACAGCGATCCAATGGAACCCCGTACTACCGCAAAAGTCTCTTCAAACGGCACATGGATCTCCTGAAGGCTGGCGATGAGACTCTTTTGTGTTTCGCAGATCGACCATGTTCGAAGATGATCGATGATTGCGGCATCTGACTGGTGGATAAGGTATACTATTCATCGCTTGAACTATTAAAGGACACACTATATCGAGCGATCCACGCAGTTCCATGCGTTCGTTTTGCGTTTCATCGCTTCGTGAACGACGCTCGTCTCCCACGAAAGTTTCTCCGCTCGTAGCGTGGACGGAAGAACGGAAGACAGCGAGACAAAACGAGCTTCGCACTGGTCACCCTTGGGGCATTCCCCATAGTATAAGAAGAGGCAAGGCTTTCGACAGAACTCGGGATGTCCGAGGCTGCCCAAGGAGGCGCAGGCCGGAGGCATTCCTCCTAACAGCATGGCGATGAAAAGAAACACGTCCCGCCCCAAAGTGGTCAGATCAGTTTGAACTCGGGTTTGCGCAACAGCGAGTGGCTGACTGATCATCTGGCTGATTGGATTTTGACTTTTGGGGTTCCTCATGTTCCTCTTCGCTCACAAATGTCAGGCGGGGAGACCCCCGGACGTCCCTTGCTCCCGTGCTGAACTTCTGCCAGAACCTTTGAGATCCGAGATTGACCCATCGAAGTTACTCAATTTTCCAATCCTTTTCGATCCTCCGAAGCTAAACAGTTTGGGTGGGCGGAAAGTGCACGAACTCGATCTTCAACTCTCGGCGCCTGCGCAGGCGCCGGTGGGCTCGCTCTCGGCGACCACGCCGCTCGGTGGTTCTTCCAACCCCTTCGGCGTCTGCTCGCCTGAGCGGCGATGAGGTCGAACTCGTGAGAGATGGAGTGTTTGTTGGATGCCCCAAAGGCGATGAATTTCTATATATAACATATTAGATATATAGATCAGAATGTAAACATCATTTAAAGACCTTTTATGGCTTATAGGCTTGTATTTATATCTTCAAAACGGTCCTTTCACTGCACCTTGCGGCACCGACGGCTTCTCTTCGGGTGTGGTTGCATCCGTCTCCAGCGGAAGGAAGGACAAAGCATTGGCGCGTTGCTCCAAATGGGCCACGTATTTATCAGGCCTGCACACACACACACACCGCAACCGGTCAAGGTGTCAGTCTGAAGAGCTTGTGAACTTCTCCAATGCAAAACTGATGAGTTGTTGATGAGTTCTGTCTTCTTGTTTAGGTCCCCAATCTAGGCCTGTTCAAACCATCCGGCAGCATGTGGGAGAAGAAGCCCTACCATGCCATGTCCGTTACTCAGACATCTTTCCGTGCAGCCGTTAGTCGGCGCATGTCGGCCCGTCGAGCGAATTCGTGGTTTGTTTCGAGACAGCCTCAGGCACCCGAATAAGAACAACGGCAGACCCAAAACAACATGGGCTTGACCGGCTTGACCTTGCAATGTTGTTGAACGCGGATGGGGAACAAGAAAAAGCGCTGGTTACGTGGGTTCTGATTCCAATCCGGTCAAAAAAAAAACACACGGGACATTCCCATGTCTTGTGCCCCACACCGCACAAACAAAACACCTACTGTTCTTGCGAAACACCGCTCAGGCCGGTCTCTTTGGAGCCGGTCTAAGCCGGTCTCCAAGTCCCAGTCGTTTTGCTGTCCTCGATGCTGGAAGCACATCCAACATGTCGGGCAAACTCTGGGTTCGCTTCATGGTCGGCGTTTTCTCCTGAAAGCATCGATCAGGTCCATAGGTGTCAAATTCCTACTTCGATCCCTCTCATTTGAAGCTGGACTTGATGAAGGTATAGAAGAGGTGGATCGATTCAAGATAAGAATACCAGTTGAGCGATGTTGAGCGTATTCTAAGATGCTGCTACTGCTGCTGTTCATTTCGCTTGACTGAGATTCTTTAAACCATCGACCTGAGTGACTCTAGAACTCGCCCAAAAGAGCTCGCTATACAAAACCCCACGAATTCGCATCACCTCCTGGACCCAGGAAAGGGATGCAGGAACGGACGCCGGACACCGTCGACCGATACGTGCGACCGGCGCTTGGTCCAACAGCAATCCGGGCCGCTTTGAACATGTTTTGAGGGTCCAGACTCCAGAGCCCTGCGATGGTGGCTTCAAGGATTCTTAGGGAGGAAAGGACATCAAAACACCGCCAAGAGTGTGGCACCGCCTAAGTCAGGCGCCAAAGAACACACAATCCAAACATATGAAATCAAACAATTACTTTCCACTGCCCTTCGTTGGAAGAACACCCTCGGATGGTTTACTAAAGGTGTGCCTCAGTTGTACAGGCTCCTTCCTCTAAACTTTAACGCTTTTTCGTATGCTCCAAGTTGAATTTGCTTCTCCTTCCTTCCTTCCTTCCTTCCCTCCTTGACCACCCACCAGCAGCACAGGCACTGGCCATTGCAAACAGCAGAGGTCAAAGCGAACACGTTTCACCCAACGTCCGCGAACACGTCGGGATGATGTTCGGCTTCGGCGTCACCCAACGTCCGTCCTGCACGCAAATGAAGGTCCCTTTGTAGCAGCACTCGAGATCCGTGACATCCGCTGCAACCATTGCGCAGGACTGGTGAATGATCGAATGCTTTTCCCGCACTTAGGTCACTCAGGGACCAAAGAGCTGTGCCGTCTTGAGCAAAACGCAGGACACCCAGCAATGCAAAGTCAAAGACCTAGCGCCTGCACAGCATAAGATCATACTTGTTGCAGAGGCAACCTCTGGAGAAAAGACGGGCTGGCTGCCCAGAAGACCCTCCACACAAGGGGGTGGACTGGAATTCTTGAGCTGGGAATACATAATACTAGCAGCTGTATAAGAGGATATAGAGAGATCTATTACAAGGTAGCAGATATAGTAGATGCTATATAGAGATGTATACAAGTATTCTCTTGTATAGTGCTATAATGCATATATATATATATATATCTGCGTACTTGATTAGACTTTGTATCAAGAGATTTTCTATTGCTTCACAGGCACCCTTTGCGACCCCTAACTCGAGAGTTCCTCCTTGGCGCCCACCAACTTCATCAATGATTGGCACCACATCAATTGCAATTCAACTTGCAAGCAAAGTGCAAGCAAAACGAAACAACTATCGCACGTGACTGGAAACTGTTTCTGGAAACCGAGAGGACCGACGATCTGGAAACTTCCAGCTCTGGACTGTTCTTCAGACCATCTGCTGGATGCATAATTGCTTGGCATGAATCACATCAATCATCTATGAAATCAAAGCCCACATCGTCAGATCTTCTTCACCTCTTCTTCACATCCTTCTCATCGACAAAGAAGTGGAACGAGCATTACTGGATTCAATCCTGCAAAGCCCAAGTGTTTCATGTGCACCCACATCAGCAATCCAAACTGCACGGTGCCAATGGTGCCCAACAAATAGAAGAGAGGAGCAATATTGGCCACCTCGGTCCCACGAGGTCGCACGGATCCCACGAGGTCCCGGGACAACCCGAAGCGCTGGCAACTCGATTCGAAGGTGTGGGAATCATCTCAGTGTGGCCTCATGATGAGCTTCTCGATCTCGCAAAAAGGTTGACCAAAACACTCCAGGTATGATAACATATAGACTATATAAATACTTAAATAATATGCGTATCAGTAGATCTATATAGACCAAACACGATGGTTTCGGAGGCCGATCGCTCCCAGCCTTGGGGAAGTCTGTTGGGTTTCATGGTTTATCTTTCTCAGTAAAGAGTACAGACTGGAAACCATAGGAAGGAGGCACCAAGTGTCCAAGCTCTCGAAAATCACACCATTGTCATGGGTTTGCGAGCTGAAAACTAAGCACAGTTCCATGGCAAACAAACAACTATCTGAAACGTCTGAAACTCAATTTACTGAGAACGGCAGCTCGCGGAAAAAAATGAGAACATCGACTGGATGATTCAGACCCTACCAATGAGTTGGCCGACTCCACTTGTTGAGACATCTCGTGTCACACTAAGTGAATGGATTCCCACACACAGCCAATGGGACTGCAAATAATATGGCCTACACCTGGCCTAGTGGCTTTTAGTGGTGAATGTAGGCCATGGCTGGTGCCACCATGGAGCGTTTGGGAGTGTTTCTTTGTTGTTTTTTGCATGCGAACCGACCATCACCGCGCTGTGCCAGGGGGGTCGTCTAACCACTGGTCACCTGAGGAGATGGGACAGGAGCCCTACTGTAGGGCTTTCAGGAGTCTCACCGATCTCTTTTGAAGTGGTGTAGCTTATACCCTAGGCTTCCTGGCCCACCATTCATTCAATAGGCCAACTACCGCATCAACTCAGGATTTTACACTCCAAAAACCAGGTCAACCATTGTGTTCATGGTCTCGGAAGTCTGGGTATAGTTGTGCCAGTCACATGGAGGACGTCGGATGCGATCCGCTGCCAGAAGGATGGCCTCCCCTTACATCACATCTAGATGGGACGAGCCACACCAGATGTGGTTGGTCTTTTTTGGTCCCATGGACGCTGTGTCTCTGTCTCTGTGTCTCTGGCTCCTCTGACCGACTTGCCTCGCGGCGAGAGGTCGAGACGGGTCGATCCGGTGAGACGGGCGGAAGCAGAGGTCAGATGTGTCGGCCAGACCCGCTGGAAAACCATGCAGAGCAAGGTCATGTCATATATTTTACAGCTCAATTGAACTTGCATGCGCTGCATCTGTGTCAACTCCAGCTTCACGCAACAATCGCACACTTCCAAGTGGCCATCCTCGGCTGCAAAGTGCAAAGCCGTCCAACCATTTGTATCTGCTGTATCTTTGTCAGCTCCCGCCTCAAGCAGCAATCGGACAACTTCCAAGTGGCCTTCCTGGGCCGCAATGTGCAAAGCCGTTACTGTTACTCCATGCGTCGTTGCCGCATCCTTGTCAGCTCCAGCTTCAAGCAACAACCGCACA